GGTATTTAACTTAATATCAAAACTAATATCACTTAATTGTTCTTTAGGTACCAAACAACTCCTATATCCTTGATTACTACTATAGCATTTTGTATCCGCAAGATCATTGCCTTGAAGGAGATCTGTGGTTATAACACCCAAAGCGGCTATTATCCAAATATGTTAACCCCCAATATTTATCAAAATACCTTTCTTTAAAATTTTAATTTCATCTATAATCGGCTTCATTACATCATCAAACTCTCTTCCAAACAGAACAAAACCCAAAACAAAATGATTTTTTAATTGTTTTCTTAGCCACAAAGACATATTGCAGAATTGAAGATAAATTCCATTTAAGAAATAATACATGTTACAAAACGTATCAAAGTCATCGTGATAAATATCCAACATTATTTTTAATATAGGTACATTATGAAGAGCTGACATTGGAAGTTGTGTATATTCAATTGGATGAAGATGCCACAGTTTAATATCTCTTATCTTCAACCGGCCATTATGATTATATAAAATTTCGCTTACATAAAATTGATAATTAGATAACTCTGGAGTATCATGAAGCCAAACTGTAACTAGTTCAACAGCATTAAACAGATTAGTCAAATACATTATTTTACTTACCATAATTTCTCATTCTTTGCTCGCTCTTTTCTTATTGAACTTGCAAATATCCTTGGTAATTTAGAGCCAAAATAAAGATGTTGAATCTTTAATTTGATATTATTCGAAGTTGAAACTATTGCTATAATTCTTCTGATCCTTGCTTCTTTATCATTGTATTTAATAAAAGATCCTATTAAATATAATTCTAAATATTATTTTGTAATTATAGTTAATAAAAAATATTTAAATTATGCCAACAAATACACATATACCATTATTTTGTAAATATATTATAGGCTTTACTATTATCTATTTGTATTGAGGATGGGCTGAAAAGAGGTAATTCCTGCTAGATATTCCCATACCAAAACTCAGATTTTGTTTCAGCTTTGATTCTAGGCCCAAAGTATATCTGCGATCATAAACTCCTATTACCCAAAACTCTTCTAATATGCTTACTTATAGATATAGTATAGGAATTCTTGAATGATATAGATATTGAGGATGTCTTCATGTTCTGGATCGGCACTTGGTAATACTTTATTGTTTGGAGAGGGAGTTGGCTATATAATGATCTTAACTGTCTAATATTCTTAATTATATATTCAGAGCAAAAGTTAGAATGTTCAATAATACATATAAGATCTTTATACGCATTACTTGCTAAGTATAAATTAATTAAATATATATACATATTTAGTAATTAAAATATACATTGCAATAGATATAATAATAAGTAATATTAATATATACTGATCATATATTTAGTAACCCAAGTAAATAGTGATATCTTCATAAAGTTTTTGAAGTATGGACCGTACTCTCCAGATAGCAGCTGAAAATTAATTTTACTATCTACTATAGTTTGTATTACTTCTGATTGTAGTCCAACTTCTTCTATTATTGTTAACTGGTCACTACTATTCAAAGTTTTCGACTACTACTTAAAGTATCTAATTCGCTACTCAATATATCCGAATCTATAGAGAAACTGCATTCAAAGTTGTTACTAACATGCTGACTTTCTTCTGAAAAACTTTCTTGTAAACTTTCATTACTATAATCCTTATAATTTTCTGAGTGTAACGAAGCTTGATTTCTAATACCTTGTAAAGTATAATATGTATGTAGTTGCGCAAATTCATTTTGTATTTGGCTGGAACTCTTATGCACAATACATCTTCATAATCCAACTTTTTGCATTGCTTTTTTGGTTCACACTCTTCTCATTTTTATACTGACTATCTTTTAAATATTAATTATAAACTGTTGAGATTAAAACATCTTACAGTAGCTTTTAAATAAAAAAGAGTAGATAGTTGGAAATAAAATTATTTAATTTATAATCTTTTGAATGATCATTTAAGGCAAAGATTGAAAGAAAAAGACGAAAAAAGTCTAAGAGATGAAAAGTATTTAATTCATAATATTTTGAGTGATCGTTTAAGGTGAAGGTTGAAAGAAAAAGATAAAAAAAAGTCTGAGATGAAAAATATTTAATTATAATATTTGAGTGATTATTTAAGGCGAAAGTTGAAAGAAAAAGTCTATAAGATGAAAAATATTTAATTATAATATATTTAAGGCGAAAGTTAAAAGAAAAGGATGAAAAAAAAGTCTATAAGACGAAAATATTTAATTTATAGTATTTTGGACGATGACATTAAAGCAAAATTGAAAGAAAAAAAGGTGAAAAAAAGTTAATGAAAATTTGCCTTTATATTTATTATTATTATTATTTTTTTTTTTTTGGTTTTAAGGTAAGGCCTTGCTCGTATCTTTATTAGTGATTAAGAGATAGTTACAACATAGATTGCTATAGTGGTAATCAAGGATATAGGAGTTGTTTGGTACCTAAAGAACAATTAAGTGATATTAGTTTTGATATTAAGTTAAATACC